TTTGACCTGAAGTATAAAGATACTTTTGATCCAACCAAAGAGCTAAAAACTGTAAATTTACATCAAAGAAAATTACGAAAAGGTCATGTTAAAACCGAAACAGAACCACTCATTCCGCTTCAATTAAAAAAATGTGATAAGGCTGTTGTACTTCCCCCAAATAAGATAGATGCCCTAAAATCTATGTTCAAGTATATCCCTGAAGTTGATAAGGAATACTACGAGTGTATTTTCCTCCAAAAATAAGATTTAGTTTGTTTTTTTTTGTAGTTAACAAAGTTCTATGTTAATTTTTTAAATAAGTAAAATTTTCTTGCTATATCAAGGTTCTATGTTTTTTTTTTCAAATACCTTTTCTTCTAATACAAAAACCAATTTTTTGTTAATTTTTTCTTTAAATCACCTTTAATACATATGTACATTTTTAATTTAAATTCAAATATATAAAACAATTTGATTTTTATGAAAGCTCATTTTTTTAAATCGATTTTTCTCAAATTAGCAATATTGTTACATACAACCTTGTAATATTAGGGTAACGGTATGGTCTATTGCAAAATGTTTTTGAATAGCCATATAATTGACATCTCATACATTGGATAATATTTTTGTTTTTTATAGTTGGTTCAATTTGTATATTGCAGTGTTGTAATTTCTGAATTTTATAAATATCTTGGTTATTGTCTGATGGTTCAAGGTCTACAAAGAACATATTTACCAGCTCTTTTGTAATCCTATGTTTAGCATTAATGATGTTTCTTACCTTGTGATCCAGTTTCGTCAGTTCTTCTTTGATATCTTCTGTTGCATGTGAATAATGAAGGTATTTAATTACGACTCTACAGGCCCTTTCTTCCTTTGGTTGATATGCGTTGTTCTCTCTCATATATCTGGATAATTTTCTGTATATTTCTGGATCGCTACAAATTATTTTGACTGTATTATTTGCCATAGTCCTGGTTTCGTATTGTTCAACTTCAGCTATTTCTGTAAATTGTTTTCTCATTTCTGGAAAGTCGCTTACACCGTTAACAAATATTGGTGGTGGTTTAGATGTTCTTTACGGTGTTTCATTTTGATTGGTTTCATTTTCTTGGATATCCGTTAGGGTATTATATTTGTTCGATAGTGTAATGGTATCATCTTCTTTGTCTGGTTCTACATTTGATCTGATTTTTCTACGTTTTGTAGTTTTAACTACTTGCCATGAGTTTTTTGTTGACACATTTGCACTTTCTGGTTCGTCATCGCTTGTTGATGACATTCTGTAGTATTGCTGGCTATTTCTGTTATGTATAGTGCTGTTGTGTGTCGCGTTTTGTTGATTTATATATTGTTCTTGATTGGGTGGAAATATCATATTCGTCGAAGAGTTACTGGTTGGTTGATTTATTTGCATATTGAACATAGCTGGTATTTGTGATGAGATTTGTGGATAACCCTATATATTGTTGATTTGTGAATAACCCTGTGTATTGTTTGGAATCTGCATTTGTAGGTAACAATTAATTTGGTTTGATGGATACTGGATTGCTAATGGCTGGCTGTTTTCATTTTGCATTTGTTGGCTAACTTGTAGTTGTCGAATCTTGGTTCATTCCCCGTTGGAAACATTATAAATAACTTACTGAATTGTTTTTAAATTTAATTTGATAAATTTATTATTTTTATGTCTATTACTAATTGATTGCTTTTTAATCACTTAAGATTTATCTGTTCAATCGAGAAAACCGGTCGAATGTTGATAACGGAGAACCATTTAACGTCCAATCGGTTTGGAATATCGACGTGAACTATGTGCTTACATATGGAGCTCAAACCTGGACATTCACTAAAATAAACATGAAGATGATCAGAAAAACTCAGAGAGGTATGGAACGACAGATGCTGGGTATCTCACTCAAAGACCATAAAACCAATGAAGACATTCGTAATAGAACAAAAGTAAAAGATGCTGTCGAACAGGCAGCTAAACTGAAATGGAAATGGGTTGTACATAACGAACTTCTCACGAATGGCCGATGGAATAAATGAAATAGGGAATTGGCGGCGATATGAAGCCAAAAGACAATACCACGAGGAAGACTGCAAATGCGATGGAGCGACGATATTAAAAGAACTGCAGGGCCAATATGGAAAACTCTTACAAACAACAGCCATGAAAGGCGAGAATTACGAGAGGCCTATATTTGGCAATCCGAATAGAGAAAAGGGATTTAAAAAAATTATGGTAGGATGTCTGAGGTGGATAGGGCATGTAATGCGGACGGAACAAAATGCCCCAGCTAGAAAAAACGCTCCTTGATAGACACATTGGTCAAAGAAGAATAGGAAGACCCAGAACAAATTTCGTTGACAACATCTATGAAGACATAAGAAATATTAGAATACTTGCTTGGCGGAGAAAGCGATAGATAAGGACGAATGGAGAGAAATTCTTGAGGAGATTAGAACCTAAGCAAGGTTGTAAAACCAAAATGATGATGACAACATTAAAATAATATTACTTGTCGTATTTTCATTGCAGTTATTTAAAACAAAGCAGCTAATAACTACAGTACAAACCTTTTCTTATGTCGCTTTTATTGTTATTTTTTTATTTATTTATTTGAAATGTAATTATATCAAATAAACGTTATTTATAAACAGTATTAAATTGTTGTTTATAAACAATTTTTCGTAATATTCGTATTAAATTTAAAGAAATCAGTCAGTATTAAAAAAATATTTTTTTAGAAATCAAAATCGTACCTATATTATATTATAAGAAATTTTGTATATTTTATATAAGCTGCGACTTAGCCAAAAATTGGCAAACCTGATCTACTCCTCAGCCCAGAATACCTATAAAGAGATAATCAATAAAATCAATGAAGCAGCTTACGAAGCGCTCGGCACAATCCAAAAGAACAAAAAGAATACTCCATTGTGGTGGACAAATGACATCGCCAATTCAGTACACAACAAGAAACAAGCATATCAAAAGTGGCTGCAAACAAATGATCCAGATGATAAACGAACATATGCAAGATCAAACAGAGAAGTAAAAAACTTAGTAACTAAAGCAAAAAATATTTCCTGGGAAAGTAAATGCAAAGAACTCAAAAAATATATAGGGTTAACAAGATCAAGAGAAGCATGGAAAACGGTAAAAAATCTGAGAACAAACAGAAAAGAAACGAGTAGAATAGATTTAATAGAAGAAGAATCTTGGATCGAACACTACTCACAACTTTTGACTCAAACAAGACCTCAATTCACGAACATCAGTACAACAACATATAAACTGGAATTCAGTGAAGACGATGAAATAACAGTACGGGAAGTCGAGAATGCAATACGAACTCTAAAAAATGGGAAGTTATGCGGACCACAAGGTATACCAAATGAATTATTAAAACATAGCCCACAAGTATTACGGGAATTACTGGCGTATGTCTTCACCTTATTCTATAATGGACACGACTTACCACCGGGGTGGACAAAAGCACATATTAACAACTTATACAAAAAAGAAGATAGAAAGAATTGTTCAAACTATAGGGGGCTAAGTGTCATAAATTCACTCTCAAGACTGTATGGAAAAATAATAAATAATAAAATTGAAAAAGAGATGACAGATGTAGAAGAACAGAATGGCTTTCGTGCAGGCAGATCCTGCATGGACAGTATATTCTCTCTAAAGCAAGTTATCGAGAAAAGATTAGCCCACAATCTTTCAACTCATATATTCTTTATAGATCTGACAAAGGCATACGATAGTGTACCACTTTCAATGCTTTGGGTAGCAATGGAAAAACAAGTAATAAGCAAAAAATATATACAAGCAGTACAACAGCTCTACAAAAATATGACGGCAAACATTAAAACTGGAAACAGATTAACTAGAGAAATTCCTATTAGTAAGGGCCTAAAAAAAGGCTGCTGCATAGCAACTACACTCTTCAAAATATATCTAAATGAAAACTGAGTACTCAGTTGTAGGAGAAAAACCAGAAAGCCTACAAATCGAAATGGGAACTATAAAACCAACAGACAATTTTAAGTACTTGGGAGTCCAAATAACATCAAAAGCAGGAAGTAGCGAAGAAATACATTCCTGGATTGGCCAAGTAAGATCAGCCACCAGACAGCTACACGGACTATTATGGAATAAAAAAATAACAAAAGAAAATAAAAGAAGAATTTATAAAACAATAATAGAAAGTATTGGACTGTACGGCGCCGAACTCTGGGAAATAAATCAAAGAAACAAATCAAAAATTAAGGCCATGGAAATGATTTACTGGAGACGATGTTGCCAGCTCACTAGACTTGATAGGGTGAGAAACGAAGATATTCGGAGAGAAATGGAAATCGATCTAGACATAATAGACACAATCGAAGCCAAAAGACTTAACTGGTATGGACACCTTCAGAGAATGCCTGAAAATAGATGGCCAAAAAAAATAGAAGAATGGACTCCGCCAACTAGAAGAAAACGAGGTAGACCAAGACGATCCTGGAGAGACGATGTCGACGATGCAATGACCGCCAGAGATCTAACAACTGAAGATTGCTTCGACAGAAAACGCTGGAAATTAGGATGCGATAAGCGGCGCTAGCTGTAGAAGACTCGCTTGTTATATATATATATATATATATATATTATATATATATATATTATATATATATATATATATATATATATATATATATATATATATATATATATATATATATATATATATTATATATAAAGTCACAAAATCGTGACGAAATATTGAGAAATAACAAATAGAGTTTTATTTCATACAGACCAATTGCTGAGACTAAAAATAATATATATATATATTATATATATATATATATATATATATATAAATTTTGTAATATCTCATACTACACATTTCAACTGTCAAACCCCATCTATACAGTTGTTTCGAGTAAAAATCTAACTGATATTTTGATATTTTTGTATATTGCCTAAATGTAATTATGAATCGGTTTAAAACATTTACCTCTAGTAAATTGTGATTCGTAAAATCCAACTCCCTGATTATTTCCCGGTGCAGCTAGTGGTCCTACTCCTTTCAAAAATTGGGACACGTAATTCTGCAGTGGCAAAATAGGCTCCGTATAATTGGTACTAAACGACAAACCATAAAAACAAGCGTGATCCCGAAGGGTACTCCCTACCGCTAAATCTTGAACTACTGTGATATTTAAAGAGCTTAAATGATGTTTAGGTCCTATTCCTGACAACATAAGAAGCTGTGGTGTTTGAAATGCTCCTGCGCTCAGTACGACTTCTTTAGAGGCTGTAGCAATAAAATTTTGACCATTTCTGGTAAAAGCAACACCTCTAGCTACTTTGTTTTGATCTAAAAGGATTCTAGTGGCATAGCTATAGGTAGAAACCCATAAATTTTTTCTCTTAAGAATGGGTAGTATAAACGCTGTTCCAGCATCCTGTCTCCTTCCATTTTTTGTATTGATTTGAGCAGGAGATGCTCCTAATCCTGTTCCAGCATTGTAATCAGCTATCGGTAAACCTAGCTCTGCATGTGCGCCTAGCCAAGCTACTAGTTGAGGACTTTCTGGTAAATGGTATTCGACATTGAGGAGTCCTTGATATCCATGGATTGATTTATTAACAGGTGCTTGCTTATCTCTGTGGTTAAACCTTTCGGTTCTTTTAAAAAGAGGCAAAACGTTATTGTATGACCATCTAGAATCTTGTACTTTATTTGCCCAGCGATCAAAATCTAGGCTTGAACCTCTGGAGTAGACTAAGCCATTTATTAAAGTTGTTCCACCTACACCTCGTCCTCTGGCGTTTGGACACTTTTTTTCAACCATACCTGTAAGTTTAAAGATTATATATTATAAAATAAAAAAATTTAGGTTATGTTTCATTAATTAAATAAAACGACGTTTTAAAACTACACTGTGTCAGCCAAATGGAATAAATTAGCTAGTAAATAAATGAAGAAGTATTTGAACAAACGGTGAAATACGTAGATTAGTATTTATTGTTTATATTTATATTAATATTATCTATTTATCGAAATTGGCTACAACATATTCAAAAACTTCTAAATAATACAAATCTAAACAATAGTGTCAATGTAGACGATGTTAACCCTAACCGTGAATAGAAATTTTTTCTAACGTTACTCAACATTTCAGATGTGATCGTTCTAATCGCAAGCGTTATTCGTCTTAGTGAGTCAGCTAAGTCAGTGGATTTAGTTTTGTATACAATACTTTTTACATATCCCCATAAGAAAAAGTCTAATGGCGTCAAATCGGGTGATCGTGGTGGCCACTGATCCTCGTCTCCCTATCCACCGATTTGGAAATATTTGGTTAGGGTACTGCCGGACATGGATTTGGTAGAAAGTTGGCCAACGTTGGCACTACATTATTTTGGAGCAATGCTAAATAATTGTCGCCATAATAATTCCTGCCCACACGTTAACCTTCCCAGTGTATTGAGTATTTCCTTCTCTCATCCAGTGAGGATTATTCCTGGACCAATAGCTTCAATTTTGCCGATTAGCATGACCGTGAAGAGTAAAGGTACACTTATCAGAAAACAAAACATGTTCTAATTGGATCACATTTCTGTCTAACATTGTCATCATTTGGTCACAAAAATACGTTCTCCTGTTAAAATTATCTTCATGAGCTCTTGAGTATATATAATTTTATAGGGATGCATTTTGTTTTCTTGTAATATTCGAATAACCGATGAATAGCTAATATCAAGTACTGGGGCTGCTTTTCGAACAGATGTATGTTTGTGTTCCTTAAAACCCATTAGCGCCCACCGTTACTATAGGGTAACGTAAAACACATGATTTTTAAAAATTCTGCGGTACGCCCATGGAACTAGTCAGCGACATATTTTGAAAACTATCGTTTCTAGGAATACTTCAGGCACCCATAAAACGTAACGGATTCGTATTTTAGTCTTCTCTCAACCGTCGAGAGATAATCATATGACAGTGTGGTTTGAGTTTATAGAAAAAGATGGACGTCCGTTTTGCGTAAGCAATTTTTAACAGTCTTCTAGTAAGTATATTTGCATATAAAAAAAACTAAGTTTATTATACTCCAACTTATTATAAATTGTTGCATTTTATCAACAATTAAATGTAGCGAATTTGGTAGGAATAGTCAAAGTACGCCGTTACCATATGGTTGCGGTGGGCGCTTACGGAGTCATAATTTAATTTATTTTCAGTCGTGGATTTTCGTTAGCAGAAGCGCTAGATATGGTTTACGGTGACGAAAAATTAGCTGAGCAAGTCGATAAAATTTTTATAACACCGCCAGATCTAATCCAGACGAGGATTCTGCGAATGAAGATGAAGGTGGATTCATAAATAACCTAACAGGTGCTTAGTTGTACAAATAATGATATACGTACATATTATAATTGTTTATTTTTACAGGTAGGCAGCTACGAGCGCAAGCAGAAATACAACTTTCTAGCAACAAAAGGATCGGTACTGACAATGAAGAAGTGCAGACAGATGTAAGTATAACCAGTAATTTTTTAATTTGCTTAGGTTTAAAATTTATTTCTATTACAGTTACAAGCAGTAGTGGAGACACCCGAAAGAGAAACTAGAGCATCGTTTCAACTATGGCAAAATGAAAGAAAAGCTGTATTAATGAAAAACTGTGCTTGGGTTCAAGGAGACTTACACTCTGCAAGTTTTTCGTTTCTAGAAGAAGATTATTCTAGGTATGAAAATCTATCATGTCTTGATATGTTCAGTATATTTTTTGATGATGAGACAGTAAACTACTTAGCAGAAGAATCCCAACGATATGCACAATTTGTAAACCAAACTGACCCATGCATTACATCTGGAGAAATACGTTGTTTTATAGGTATTCTCCTGCTATCGGGGTACAATCCATTACCATCGAAGATAATGTATTGAAATACTCATGATGATGTAAAGAACACTTTAGTTTCTAATTCAATGAGACGAAATAGATTTCTGCAAATTCAAAGGTTTTTGCATTTCGCAGATAATACAAAGCCTAATATTAGTGACAAAGCATGGAAAATTCGACCATTGATTGACAGAGTAAAACAAAATGTCTTGAAAATTTTGTTCCAACAAAAAATCTATCATATGACGAGTCTATGATAAAGTATTATGGCCGCCATCAATGTAAACAATTTATACGAAATTAACCAATCCGCTTTGGTTATAAAATGTGGTCGCTAAATACTTCTACTGGATATCTGGTAAACTTTGACCTATACCAAGGAAGAAATCCACGTTCAAATGAACAATACGATAAACTTTTTGGCAAGTGTTTATCCCCTTTGGTGCGAATGCTTGAAGAGATAACTCACTCAGATTTACACTACAATTTACACGTCGACAACCTATTTTCAGGATTTAATTTATTTAGTTACCTACGATTTTTGGGGTACGGCACAATTGGAACAATTAGAAAAAACAGAATTCCATCTAGCTGTCCCTTGGAAAAAAAGAAGGAGTTTTCTAAAAGAAATCGTGGCTATTCACAACATACAATAGAAAAAAACAGCGGTATCTTACTGGTGCGATGGAAAGATAACTCTGTTGTCACAATGGCATCTACGAGTTGTGGTGGTTCAGCATTGGGCACGGTAAAAAGATTTTCTCATGAAGAAAAACGCCATATTCTAGTAAGTCGGCCTCATTGTATTGCTGAATACAATAAAAATATGGGGGGTACCGACTTGATGGATCAAGGTGTTTCAACCTACCGAGTAGCAATTCGCAGTAAAAAATGGTACTGGCCAATTGTAACATGGTTTTGGATGTTGCAGTCCATAATTCATGGCATTTATATAAAAAAAAATAAAAAAGATATATCCTTGCTATCGTTTATGCCCAAGTTCTTCTCACAAGATATGGAAGTCCTCCCTTATATACAGGAAGACCTAGTCTACATAGACAGAACTTTCCAGATCTTCGTTTTGATCGCATCGATCATTTCGTTACACCAAGCAGTAGAAGGCGATGTGCTGGTGAAGGATGTATAACATCTGGACGAACAATGTGCCAAAAATGCAATATTGGTTTGTGTGTTAATTATTTTATAGGATACCACACCAGACGATAAAAATATTCTCAAATAAATATTTTAAAAAAAATTAAAAATTTTTATTTCAACGACCCTAAAAATTCCTTAAGCGCCCAGCGTTACCATATGGTAACACCATGTAATTTTTTTTTTAAAAAGACATGAAACCGAAAAACTTATTTTTTTGGATTAAATTATTAACATTTTTATCTAGTTAACCCTAAGTAAAGATTTTCAAAAAAAAAGACTTGGGCACTAATGGGTTAAACTAAAGCATAACAGCCAATTTGGTAATTTTATCAATAAGTGACATTGCATTGGCAGCTTCCTTTTTTACCTTCCTAACATGGCCCAGCTTGTTAAATTGCTTCTCTATTTTACTAGTTGTCCCTTGAGATATGTGCGGCAAATCAGGAAATGCTTCGTGAAATAAACGAGCTACTTCCACTTGCGTCCGTGTCTTATTTCCATTGCCAATCATCTGTATAATTGTAATTTTGTAATGAACCATTCTTCTGGCTTGCGGTAAATGAAATTCAAACGACTATAGCACTGACAACTCCTTCTGTTATGGAACAATAAAACATTGGCGTTTTAAACCAAAGTAAACAATTTGTTTTTTTTAACATATTAATAAAAAGGGATGCTTTAATAGAATTTGCTTACTTTATCATTACCAAGACCTATGGGCAAGAAGTATTAAGACAGTGGTAGCGACTTATGACAAATAAATAATTTTCTTTTCTAAATGTGAATTTTTGCATTTTACTTAATATTTTTGAGATTCGACAGTCATATAAGACGCCCCATATAAAAAGATTTTATGGAAAAAATGCGCGACTATATATAAATACTAATCGACGCGTTCGACCGTTTTTTCGAATAATCCCTCATTTATTTATTAGCTAATTTATTCCATTTGGCTGACACACAGTGTATACCAAAATATGATAAACATATTTTAGAAAAACGTATTAAATATATTTTATAAAAATGTATTATTACAAAATTTTGACATTTGTTAGTTTACGGCAGGGGTGCTCAAACAGTCGATCGCGATCGACTGGTCGATCGCGAGTGCTTTTTGGGTAGATCTCGAGAAGAAAAAAAATTCTAATAAGTGGGTAGGTAACTAAACTACTGTCAGCAGAGTTAAGCGTTTTTATTAATACTGAACTATACAATTACATAGAATGCTTGACTAAGCATCATTGCAATTCAAAGAAGTGGGGACAACAAAATACTGTCCACACAGCATATTTTATATTTACATATATTAACTAATTATTTTATTAATTCAATATTTATTATCATTATTAATCAAATTTGGGATGATATTCTATCAACTACAAAAATGTATTACGTAATAAAATAACACTGCTTGCGGCAAAAGGTGGCTTTATCAAAGGAACGCGCAGCACTTGTCAAAGAAAAGCCGTATTGTTTCTAGACGAGAGCCAGTAGAGTCTAGTTTCGGGCGGCGCGTTTGACGATAACATTCGAGACTTTCGTTCACGTCGATATAAATGTTGCGCCTGCAGGAATTGGAGTTGTTCTGAATTGTAACTTGATAGCGATCCTACGTCGATATAAAGTTTATTATTAAATAGTGGAAAATGAGTGCAGTGAAGAAATCTAAAACGTATCATTTTAATAAGGATTGGGAGGAAGAATTTTTCTTTTCTATGGTGAAGGATAAGTGCATTTGTGTTATTTGTCGTGCGTCAGTTGCAATACCTAAGCGTGGTAACTTAGAGAGGCATCATTAAACGGTTCATAAAAACTATGAAAAGGATTTTCCGCCACAGAATGAATTAAGAAAACGAAAAGTAAGTGATTTGATATCTTGTTTGAAAAAAGAACAATCCATGTTCACAAGACCAGCCAAACAATCAAAAGCTGCTACGATCGCGTCATTTAAAATATCTCACATTTTGGCGAAACACAAGAAACAATTTGAAGATGGATCGTTGGTGAAGGAAGCATTTATTGAAGCGGGTGAGACTTTATTTGGAGATTTGAAAAATAAAACAGAAATCATGTCTGCTATTAGAGAACTTCAGTTATCTCGTCCGACTGTCACAAGGCGTATTGAAGTCATGAGTCAAGACATCGCAGATAAACTAAAACATGATATCATGGAATGTGCATACTTTTCTTTACAGTTCGACGAATCCATCGATATGACAGGCACTGCCCAGCTGTGTATTTTTATTCGGATAGTATTCAATGACATGTTGGCTAAGGAAGAATTTTTGACAATCATTCCTCTAAAGGGGAAGACCCGTGGCGAAGATATATATGACGTTTTCTTAAATCTTGTAAAAAACTACGAGCTACCAATATATAAATTAATGTGCATTACAACCGATGGAGCACCAGCAATGACTGGAAACAAAAACGGTTTTGTGACATTGTGTCGAGCTAATGAAGAATTCCCTTCATTTTTTTCATTCCATTGCATTATACATCAACAATTTTTGTGTTCAAAAGTTTTAGACACGGAGGAAATTATGGGCATTGCAATAAAAATTGTGAATTCCATCCGTGCACATAGCTTGCAATGGCGGTTCTTTCAGTTGCAGTTGGAAGATAGGGAGTCAGCTGAACACACTGATTTAGTTCTTCACACGGACGTCAGGTGGTTAAGTCGCGAAAAATTCCTAGAAAGGTTTCAAGAATTATTGCCCGAAATAACAGCTTTTCTAGACAAAAGAGGTGATGACACTCAGATTTTGAAAAACGAAAAATGGCTAAATGATTTGGCATTTTTGACTGACATCACAATGCACTTAAACACCGTTAACTTGGAGCTTCAAGGTAAAGGAAAAACTATTATTGAGATGATTAGCGCAGTAAACGCTTTCAAAAGTAAATTGCAACTTATGATAGATCAACTGAAAAGAAAGGATCTGAAACATTTTCCGTCTTTGAAAGCAAGGATTCCTCAGTTAAATTATGATATGTATGAGGCTGAATTATCAAATATTTTGGGACAATTCGAAATGCGTTTTTATGATTGCAGTAAATTGGAAAATATAGCATCATTTATGAGTTATCCTTTATTATCATTTATGAGTTATCCTTAATTAGCTGCTGAAATAGGAACTTAGTTTAATATGAGCTCATGTTCTGTTAAAAATGAGTTGGTGTAGATTATATCAGATATACATCTCAAAGCTACAGTATCTGATACAAATTTCCGGCGTTTTATATCTGAAGATAAATATCCGAATGTAAGGCAAATCGCCCTTCAACTGACGGCATTTTTTGGGTCAACTTACTTGTGCGAGTCTGCATTTTCTGAAATAAAGATAATTAAGTCAAAATATCGCAATCGACTAACTGACGATCATATGACATCATGCTTGCGATTAGCACTTAGTGGTTACGTACCATCTTATGAAAAGTATGCTGAGGACATGCAGTGCCACGCTTCAACATCCAAAGCCACTCCTTAGTTAAGTTTAACACCATATGTAACTCTTTTGTTTTATAACAACAAATAAACTCGCAATTTTGAATAACTATGAGTTTTTTCATTGATATTGTAGAGAATAACCTAACTAAACCAAACCCAAACCTTGACTAAAATAATGTACCTATATTGTGCAGAAAGCTAATATCTATATATGCTACGGTACGCCCTACCTAGGTAGGTAGGGTGTATCGTGTATGTACGACAACCCTGCATCACACACACTTGCAGTCTCTCAGAGTCGATCGTAAGTAGTCTAAAAATATTGAGGTAGATTGCCAGCAGTTCAAGTTTGAGCACCCCTGGTTTAAGGTTTCATTCATGTTTAATGTAGTAATTGAATAAAAAGTAATAAGATTAATAATTTAAACAAATGACTATACAAAACTTTTATAAGATAATATCCTTACCTAAACAGGCAGTTTTCTGTGGAACACTAACGAATCCCCAATTATAGTCTGTATATTCGACTTCGAAGTACATATTAGGGATGTCCGTGATGTTATCTCCATATCCACCAGCCTCTATTAGCAATATTTTCCACTCTTTAACTTCAGACAATCTATTAGCTAAAAGGCTGCCAGCAGATCCAGCTCCAATTATAATAAAGTCAAAAGAACCGAAATCTAAAAAGAAAAAGATATATGTTAGCAGATGGTAATATATATGATTCATGTTATCAATCAAAGATAGAATAAAAATTTTAATTTGTTATAGAACGCGTTAATTTGCGTTTGTATAGAACACATAAATTTGCATCGCCCTGTACATCGATTTGTAAATATTTGTTATAAGTTGGTTTTAAGCAGTGGGTTTTTCTATAATGAGTTTTATCCTGACGGACTGAAAAACATTAGTAAATACTTAAAAGTGAAAAGACAATTGTTTCCCGGTATTTGTATATTATATTTTAAAATCCTGTGTTTTTGTTTTCGCTGGAAAGACCAAAAGCCGGCAGGCAGTTATTGTATATAGAAAGTATGAGATAAAACCATTATCATTTTCAAAGAAAGTTGTTTGGAAGCGATGCTTGGATTTTTCTGATATTAAATCAGAGGCGGGATATATGAATTTTCTGATTGGTTCGTGAGTTTGGAATGGTAAAAAGAGAGTAGATGTTTTGAAAGTTTGGAGTAAAAAGATTATTATGTGATGGTCATCGGAGAGAAGCAGTGGAAGTTTTGTGTAGTCAATTAAAAAGCAAGTGCTAGTAGTGTTAATAATTAGAAGTGAGTGTCTGAAAGATTGAACGAGAGATAGATCAAAGCTGAGAAGTCGAGTACCTCCTGGATTCTATAAAGCCCAAGTAAGTAAGTCAAAAAAAAACATAACTATAAAGAATATTTGCGACACCAAGTAAAAGTAATATTACTTGGGCATCAGAAGATTGTGAGTATATGAAAGAGATGAGAGAATTTTGGAGTTTGTTGAACGAGTACTTTTAAAAGAGACCTGCTCGTGTTTTTAGAGAAAGAGTTGCTGGTATGCTGATATTGTCGTGTGTAAGTTAAAAGGTCAGTCAATAATTTTTATAACAAAATTTTTGTTAAATGAAATCGTAGGCTTCCACGGCCAGAGTCAAAATTATAGTTTATTCGTCTTCCGGGTTTGGACCGTGTCATTTGTGAGTGACCCAAAAGTGGGTTCATCTCGACGTTTCGCTACAATTGTATGTAGCTTCTTCAGGAGAACAAAGAAAAAGAAAACAAAAGACAGGAAGATGGGTAGTTAGCAACGGTAATTCAGTTACTCAACGCAACCACAAGCGAATACTAAATACCAAGATGGGTATTTGGTCACAGTAACTCAACTACTCAACGCAGCCAGAGGTGAAAACCAAATGCCAGGACAGGGATTCACGTCCAACAGCTCAGAACACTAACGCGTCGAGAGGCGGGGAGTGAATCCGACGATTACTCCGCTACCGCTCTACGCACACTCCGTGGCGCGAACGTCAAGAAGCGCGCGCTGGCCAATCATGTGGCTGCATCGTGGTAGCGGGACCACTGCCGTAGATACTACTTGTCTCCCATCTGGAATCTCAGTCTATATATATATATATATATATATATATATATATATATATATATATATATATATATATATATATATATATATATATATATATATATAGTATATATGTATATATATGTATATATATATATTATATATATATATATATATATATATATATATATATATGTGTAATATATATGTATATATATATATATATATTATATATATATGTGTATATATATGTATATATATATATAACTGTTTTGAATGGGTTGGAGTCAATAAAAGGGGCTATTTGTTAACTATTTTTTACTCGAGCTGTCAATTATGTTTACAATTATTATCAAAAGCTGTTAAAAAATACAAAATATCTTACAAAGTTGAACTAGAAATAAAAAATTTTATTAACTCACCAAATAAAATGAGTTTGGTATATAAAAATGCTGCTTCTTCTTTTTTGAGTACTTCTCGTATCGGAGATTGGATATCATTATCGCGATTCTAATTTTATTAACTGCTGTTTTGAACAATTCGTTAGTGGTACAGCTAAAACACTCTCTTAAATTTCTCATTCAGGACATTCTTCTGTGGCCTGGATTTCTGCGTCCTTGGATTTTTCCTTGTAATATATTTTGTAGGAACGTGTACGTTGGTCCTCTCATCAGGTTGCCTAAGTATTTAAGTTTTCTCTTTTTATATTCATAATAACTTCTGGATCGTTATTTATTCTGCGTATGACCTCTTCATTTGTAGTTTTATTCACCCAACTTATTTTTAGTATACGGCGGTAGCACCACATCTCAAAGCTTTCAAGTTTTTTAATATTCCTCTGTTTAAGAGTCCATGCCTCAACACCGTAAAGCAAAGTACTGAATACATAGCATTTTAACATTCTAGTTCGTAGATGAATACTAATATCACGATTACAAAATATTTTTTTCATTTTTATAAAGGTAGACCTGGCAATTTCAATACGTCTTTTTATCTAGTGATTTTGATCACCTGTTTCATTAATGAGGGTTCCCAAGTATTTGTATTCGCTTACTTTTTCAAGTTGGGTACCGTTTATTGCGATAATAGTGTCATGTACTGGATTCTTACTGAAGGTCATATATTTGGTTTTTTTTTGACGTTTATCCTTATGCCTTAGTTATTACATATCTCATTCATATGCCAAATAGGTAAACTTAAAGACAAAGATGGAAATCTTATTATAGATCTAGAGAATAAAATAAAAAGAAGGGCAGAATAACTGAATGAATTATTTGAACACGATAAAAACAACTTAACTCAGATAATCACTGCAACTGGGCCAGACATATTGAAAGAAGAAGTAGAATACGCAATAAGGAACACTAAAAATGGAAAAGCAAATGGACCTGATGAAATTTCTACAGAACTGTTGAAGCTTTTGAATGATAAATCCGTAACCATAATATTACATCTATTCAATACAATATACAGTACTGGTATATTACCTCAAGAATGGTTGCTGTGTACGTTTGTCACCATACCGAAGAAAACTAAGGCCATGCAATGTTCAGATCATCGAACAATCTCCTTGATGAGTCACCTGCTTAAAATATTTCTTAGATACACAGATGGGATTCAGAAAAGGATTGGGTACAAGAGAAGCTCTCTTTACCTTAAATGTCCTAACACAGAAATGTCTAGATGTTGACCAAGAGGTGCATACCTACTTTACAGACTTTGAAAAGGCCTTTGACAAAGTAAGCCACAATCAACCCAAAGAAATCCTGGAAGGTAAGAACATCGAAACCAGAGACATACAAATAATATTAAAGCTGTACTGGAATCAGCGAGCTAATATAAAGGTAGAAGACCAAAAATCGGACGAAATACAGTACCGGACAGGGTTGTATATTGTCACCGCTTTTGTTTAACATCTACAGCAAAAAAATATGCCAAGAAGCTCTCTTACATGCAAACGAAGGAGTAATAGTCAATGGAGAAGTTATCAATAACATTCGATATGCTGACGATACTGTGATAATGGCAAGAACAGCAAAATATCTACAACATCTAGTTGAAAATGCTGCTAACATATTACAAAATATATTAGTATAAAAATGTTCTATTCTAATAAATGTTTCTCTGAAATTTTAATATAATTTTGAAAAAGTTTCTTAACACAAAAACAATTCTTTTTTTGAACAAAGTTCTTTTCAATATATTACTTTCATTACATAAAATTATAATATTATCAAAATCCATAATATGGTCTTTGTCGATTACATGCTTTATTACATGATTTTTTGAAAATGGTTTAAATTAGCAAAAGTGATAATAATTTAAACAAAAGGTCAGAAATGCAAAATCTAAGCAAAATTTATAATTATATTATTTCTATGTAGTTTATATATGAAATCAGTAAAATATCACATTTTGATTTAATTTTCCATGTATTTGTTACATTTTTTAGGCATTTATCAATGGTAAATAACTTTTCTTCTTTTTTTACTAAACAAAAAAGAATTTTTAAACAAAATTTTATTTTTGGCAATATAATTGTCAAAAATAAAAATTTTTAAGTTCGTATATATGACATTAAGGCTTATTTGTAACTGTTCAATTTTATTTACAAATTCAATTGTTTTTGTGTTACGAAACTTTTTCAAAATTTTATTAAAATTTCAGAGAAAAATTTATTAGAATAGAACATTTTTATATTAATATTTTTTTGTAATATGTTGGCAGCATTTTTATATACCACATTAATTTTATTTGGTGAGTTAACAAAATTTTTTATTTCTAGTTCAACATTGTAAGATATTTTGTATTTTTTAGAAGCTCTTGATAATAATTGTAAACACAATTGAAAGCTCGAGTAAAAAATAGTTAACAAATAGCCACTTTTTTTGACTCCAACTCATCCAAAACAGTTTTATATTTTTTCTAGACGATTCACAAGTACTTCTTTTTTCTTAACAAGCCAGGATATTCTTCTTAGACCTGGGGCCCTTTTTTCTTCATTTTTACCTTGTAAAATGCATTGAAGTAGCTCGTATCTGCCTTGATTTCTCATTATATGGCCCAAGTACTGCAGCTTACGGCCCTTCACGATGTTGACCAAATCTTCAGTTGTGTTCATTCGACGCAGTACTTCTTCATTGGTGACTTTGTCTGTCCATGGTATCTTTAAGATCCTTCTGTATGACCATAGCTCAAAAGCCTGAAATTTAGATAGAGTTTCCGCCTTTAATGTCCACGTTTCTACTCCGTACAGAAGCACTGAGTACACATAACATTTAAGGAGCCTTATTTTTGTTTTTAGGGTGGGGTCATGGCTCTTGAATACAGAACTCATAGTCAAGAATACACTCTTTGCCTTTCCGATGCGACATTTAATCTCTTGAGTATTGTCCCATGACTAATTGATTATAGTTCCCAAGTAATTTTATTGTGAGACTCGTTCAATTCTCATTTGGTTTACATACAGATTTGCTTCAGTTATGTTTTCCTTGCTGATGATTATTAGCTTGGTTTTGCTGGTGTTTATGTCCAGTCCATATTTTCTACTTGTTTCCGTTATTTTGTTCATTAAGTTTTGCAGCCTTTCTGTGGTATTGGAAAACACTATTGTATCATC